GAAAAAGCATTCGACAGATCGCTCGACCGACTGCCCACCCGACCGTCCGACAAACCGCATGCACTCGCCGTTTGTCAAACCGCCAGATGGACAGTAGGTCGAAGGATCTCTCGAAAGCTTTTTCCAATGAAAAAACGATCGACAGATCGCTCGATCGACTGCCCACCTGACTGTGCAACAAACCACGCTAACCCACCCTCTGTCCCGGTTCCCNCCCCCCCCCACTCCAAAGACAACATTCACGCAGGAGGTAAATGTGTTCACCCACTCAAGATCAAAACAAAAATTTAGAATACCTGAAAAACAAAAATTTAGAATACCTGAAAAACAAAAATTTAGAATACCTGAAATGATAAGAAGGGAACAAATTACACTGAAGTTCTTGCAGGTGTCAGGGTTTGCGCTTCAAGTACTTCAAGCGTCTCAATTGAAAGATCTCGTGAGCAACCCGATGGTGCCATTGGGTTTCTCTGAAATCATTTCCCATTTTCAAAAAATCTCTCTGAAAGTTGAGACCGTAATGGAGGTGATATCCCACACAACGTTGAAAGTCCACCTCTAAATCCAGTAAAATGTCTAATGCAAAAATAGGGAGCAAATACATTGGCAGGATTGCCCTTGTTCCAATCCTGGAGCGAGTCCCCGCACAACGTGGCAACCCTGGTAATGTAGTTGCTCCCTATTTTGGCATGGAAACGACTGGATATAGAGTTTGACTCTCGGGGCAGCGTGGAATATCCCCTCTATTATGGCCTCAATTTGGAGAGTTATGTTTGAGTTTGGAAATTGGTGTAAGCAAAAACCAGTGGCACCATTGTGTTTCTCACGAAATTTGATGTAAGATAAAATACTTAAATCGCGTAAAAGTACTTAAATACTACTAGTGATAAAAATCCGAACAGTGCCATATTCAAGGATTGAATACACATACTGATTTCGTGGCTACGTCATTCGATAAAATGTCGAACCCTTGGTTCAAATGTAAACAAACACAGAGCCTTATATTCAATTCACGCCTTTTGCGCTGCGCCATGGTGGTAAAATGCATCCGAAATGAGAAAGGGCAGGTAAGGGGTGAAGGGGGAGGGGGAGGGAGTGAGAGGTATTCGACGCTTCTTATCTAACTGTGTGGAGACAGGAAGGAATGAGTGAAAAACAGGGGGGGAGGAGGGAGTAAGAGGTGTTCAACGCTTCTTATCTGACTATGCGGAGACTGGAAGGAAGGATCAGAGGGGAAAAACAATATGTGATCGGCAAACGGCGAGCAAACCGAACGATTTGACTAGGGAGGGTTTGGGGCCGGGCCGAGTGTCGGGATCTACGAGCTGAAATCTTCGAAGCCTGAAAGAATTCCTAGAAAGGTCTCTCTGTGTGCACGACTCAGCATCCGGTTGGAACGGCTTCAGGTGTGGTCTGAGCGGAGAGGTTTTATCTACTTCGCTTCCCGCCAATTCCTTTACTCCCTTCTCCTCGATAAAAAATTCACTTTGGCATTCGGACCTAACGAAAAGCCTCTTTCTAGCTATGTAAGGTTACAAAATTAGAAAAACAAAAATCTGATGGAGATATGAATTGCCTGAGGCGATAAATGTTTTGGAGAAAAATAACTATTTCTTACGACAGCAAATTAGAATTATTTAAACGGGCAGGGCGAGGGGCGACCTCTCTTGACCTAAGAATAATCAATTTAAACATAATTTAAAAATCACTACAACTCAAACTTCTCAAGAGGGTTATTTGGCTGGGGAAAGGGAGTAAAAAGACCTCACCTTCCTAAACGAGAAATTTAAGGCATTTTTGGAAAGCGGATATTTTATTCAGCGGCAAATTCCGCCCCTGCCGGACTCTCTCTTTTCCTCTATCATCTGTCCTTTCTTCTCTCTCTCCCTCTTCATCCATCCTTCTTTCTCTCTCTTTTCCTTTATCATCTGTCCTTTCATCTCTCTCTCCCTCTTCCAACTTCCTTTTTTCTCACTCTTTAATTTTATAGGATGGGCCTAGTCGACGAAAGAGAACACCCAAATAAAATAATAAGCTTCAAAACTAAAGAATAAAAAAAAAAAATCTAAGGTTTAATTTCAGGTACCAATGATCATTGGAACCATCTCAAACTTTATCCTGTCTTTAAAAGTATGCGATGAAATAAGAAAACATAGACTCGTTACAATGCCACTTTCAATTATGCAGATTATCCGAGGGAACTATACACGGTATCATTTTAATTACAAGAGCCGAGAAAATCTACTTCGGAAATTCTCGAACTGAAACATTTTTCGACTCCGAGGAAATAATAAACAGACATGAGGAGGAAAAGGAGGGGGGGGGGAGTTGAAAATAAAAAATCGGGCGCATGAAAGCATCTGACTCCAGTCTCGGAAAAAGCTAATTCTGACTATGATGCTGCTGTAATAAAACTTATCCGGTTCCCCAATCAAGTAGGGCCCAAAGGCTCAAAAAAACAGTAAAATGAACCACAATAAAAGTAAATGAGACAAAGCGGAAATAGAGAAGTGAAGGAAGAAAATGTGAGTTACATAAAATTTTGAAATCAATGACATCAAATCTGAGCAGAATCTAAGTAAGTTATGTGCTGATACTTCTGACCTGAATCCAGACCAACGCCAAAATATTCACGCATCAAAGGAAGCTATGACCAGATATCCGACTCCTTCAAATGGTATGGAACAATATAAATTAATCAAATTGATCGTGGTAGGTAGGTTGAGAAAGAGATGCACACACACTTCAAACGCGAAGCCGACAAATCTGACAATAACGCACACACGAGAAACGAACATCGCTACCGAAATTTCGCGCAACAGGTCACCGAACGATGGAGAAAACACCACGCGAAATTCACTGAGAAATGGCGAAGTTCACAGTCCACATAGATACACCCGCGACACTGGAAACTACGAAAATCGATGAAAATTTTGGATTTATCAATTACCTAAGTTCAGTTCACTCGAACGCCGGGCGCGAGTTACCAAAAATTTCAAGAGAAAGAGGGATTCTAATGGCGGCCACGATCCAACATTGTGACAAATAATATACAAGAAATTCTCCGTATAAATCGTAAAGAGTTTTCACGAAACACACGAGGTACCGAGACTCGCTCGTCGAAAATGAACGCCGAAAACAACAGAACAATAAATACCAACGAAAACGATGAAAAGGTCAGGATCCATTACTGTCACTTGAGACGCCGCCGGCCGGGCACGAGTTATACCGCGATGATGAAGGCCGACCCGAGAAACTTATCTCACACGATCAGTATACGTACACCGAAGAGTTTTCGCAGAGCAGACGAGGTAACGAGACACTTTCTAAAGTCCTATGAGTGTTAAACTTTTCATGAAAGTAAAATTACTTGAAGCCATGAGGACTTCACTCCGACCGGGCGCGAGACAATGCAACCGACTCGGGCGACCGCTGACGGAAATCTGAAAAGCGAGAGTGATGATCTGCATGGCTTGATTGGCATGAAGGTGGGGGGTCTGGGGTAGCGTCGCCCGATCAACACTGATTTTGATTGGCGCGGAAGGGTGTTTGTGACAGACTGTACCCTGTTCGAAATTGGCGTCGAAATGTCGCGGCGGGTCAGGTTTTCTTTCGTCTGGCCGCTTGATAAGGCTGCGGACTGACAGAAACTGAAGGAACGGTAGGCCGTGAGGGGAGTGAGGGGAGAGCCTCGCGTGGTTCAAGCCTCGAGGGCACGTACACACGCGCCCCATCACACACACACATCCAAGAGAGCGCGCTCACCTGATTCTTCCTTTGCGACGTTGCAACTTCTTATCAAACTTTATTTTTTGATTGAAAAACTTGTCAACTTAATTTCTTGAAACCTTCCACAATTGTTTAGCTATATTAGTGGTATATTCTGCAAAAATTTCAAGCTGTAATTGCTGTCGAGTTGGCTTGTTTTCCTTCGAAAAAATAAATTAGGAACAAAGATTTTGAATCACGCATTACAGAAACGTCGTTTCACATTTTAGCCATCGACTTGATTGAGCGGGAAAAATTCTTGCCAAATCTCCATGCTTTTCAGCGATGAACCGGAGCTTCTACTACAATAACGTGCATTTCCTCAAACCCTGTAGTTTTCACGCTGAAATAACAAATTACACAGACGCACTCCTGTATCGACGACTGTTACCTAAAAGAATCTTGGGGAGAGCCTGTCAAAAAAGGACCCTTTTGTGCCTCTTTTTCAAGTTTCGTTCAGATGTGTCAGGAATGGAACTCTAGGCGGAATTTGGAATTTTCTGTTGGT